ACCACTCGGCCACCGGCCGACTTTAAACACTCAGCTAAGTGTACAGAACCTCAGAATTGTGAAGCGAACGCTTGTGTGCTGAGCCAGAGTGTCTTATTTTTATGACGCGGCTGGCAGATCCAGCCATGCAACAGATGGCACATTGTCTATAAGCATATTTTGCACTTATATAGAGTTAGCAGCATCCGGCTATGGATCTGTCTGTCACCGCGGTCTCCATATCCAGCCACAGGACGCCTGCGCCTATAGTGGGAAAATGGGTGGCTTGCACGGCACCATCAACAGCTCCAAGTACACACACCAAAGGAATAAGACCGGGAGGTAAGTGGATGAGAGCCAGGTTTCATCAACGGAGCTGGCCCACACTCCTTCACAGGCAAACACAAGCACGCTGTATTTGGGGAACTAAGCGCACATAAGGCGGGGGCTGGGCCGTAGTCCGCTCCATCCTGGATAGAACCACTCTTCAAGTCCAGTGCGGCCAAAAGGACCGTGCACCCCATCCCCTCTAGCAACGACCAATTGTTTCCTGGAGCTAGTATGCACGAGGTAGTGGGTAAGAGATAGGTAGACACCTTGTCAACATAAATATATATATGGTTGGCGGCATCCGGTTTCGGATTTGTCTGTCACTGTGGCCAGCCACAGGACGCCTGCGCCTACAGAGGGACCATGGGTGGCTTGCGCTGCACCACCCACAGCTCCAACCACACACCACATATCCAGGGTAAACCCGAAGGAATAAGATCGGGAGGCATGTGGATGGGAGCCACGTTTCATCAACGGAGCCGGCCCACACTCCTACACAGGCAAACACAAGCACGCTGTATTTGGGGAATCAAGCGCACACAAGGCGGTGGCTGGACCGTAGTCCGCTCCACACTGAGTGCATGGAACCGCTCTTCGAGCCTAGTACGGCCACAAGGACCGTGCACCCTGTCCCCTGCAGCAACGACCAACTGTCTCCTAGAGCCAGTATGGACGAGGTAGTGGGTAATAGACAGGTAGGCACCGTGTCAACATTACTTATGAATGGAAGGATTTTGGTGAGTATTGTTGTTCGTCGCAATCAGCCAACAATTCAGATATGTCGACCAGCTATCCGGAAAAGCACCATACGGCCGTTTCGCTCTATTGGGGCTCATCAGTAGTGCGCATCCTTCGGTCCTCTGCGGAGGATCGAACCCATGACTGCTAGTGGCACTTGCTAACTAGCCCGCAGCTTATGCAACTGCGCCATGGAGGACGGTATCCGACTATCATGAATTGTTAGCTAAATGCGATATAGCCCGACGCATCCTCCACTACCATGCAGGCACCTGCCATGCAGATGACAGCGGTCGGCCTTCCGGCGTCAGGACTTCCCGGTTAAGGCAGCTATGAATCGACACAGCATTTTGTGGAATCCGTAAGGGCGTACTGGTATTACTTATGAATGGCTATTTCGCATTTAGCTAACAATTCATGATAGTCGGATACTGTCCTCCATGGCGCAGTTGCATAAGCTGCGGGCTAGTTGGCAAGAACCACTAGCAGTCATGGGTTCGATCCTCCGCAGAGGACCGAAGGATGCGCACCAATGATGAGCCCCAATAGGGCGAAACCGCCGTCTGGTGCTTTGCCGGATAACTGGTCGACATATCTGAATTGCCGGCTGATTGCGACGAACAACAATACCTTGTCAACATGCACATCAAGCGCAGCAACACTGGGGTATCAAGCAATAGCCAATCACTTGAGAGAAAGATAACAAAGAATGTAAATCGAGTAATGCATAAGGAAATGTGACAAAAATTTTAAATTAATGAGCATATGAAATAAGTTGTTTACAAGGGATCCGAGATAAGTTAACGAGGTCAGAAAGTATATTTTACGGAAATGACACAAACACGAAAATGTTGTCGAAATTAACTACAATTGGCTTAAGCGACGTGTGCAAGTTTATGGAAGAGCGTACAGGTAGACATTTATGTGAGAAAGAAAAGCATTAGGACAAAACTGAAAACGCAACACCTGAAATAAAGAGACTTAGCATGCAAGCACGCGGTTAGTAAATGGAATGCAGCGTGCCTACAAACGCTGCGCTGGTTCTGCCTACATTCTCTGCAGGACCCGTCGTCGCTTCGGGAGTGGTCCAAAGTGGCCTCGCTCATGGCTCACTAAGCCTGCGTCACTCAGGCACTCACGACCGCATATGCTACAGCACCATGCGCTTGATGTCGATGGAGTACAACCCATCGTTGCTTGCCGCTTCTTCTCTGCATATATGAGGTCTTCCTCCCGCACTTTGGCAACTGCCTTCGTGACTAGATCGCACCATGCACGCCGATCAACCGCATTTGGATTCCCATGATCTGCAATCAAGATTAGAACGTGAGAGGCTCACTTTAATCATGTCCTGGTAACGTAACTTTGGTTTCCCAGCATGCCGCTTCCCTCTACTCAGCTGACCATATAAGATTTGTTTTTGTATCCGCGTCGAATCCATACAGCTCACATGACCGAGCCACCTCTGTTGTCTCAGTAAAAGTATGCAGTCCACTGCATACACTCCACAATGTCGCAACACTTCCGTGTCCGCAACACTGTCGCCCCAACCGATGCGCAAAATCCGTCGCAAACACTGTTAATGTAATCGCTCGAGATAATGCACATCCCGCCGGTACATCGTCCACGTTTCACTGCCATATAAAAGAACGGACAGCCCCATGGATTTGTACACTATCAGCTTCGTGCCAATGGTAAGCTGATGGTTGTTCCAAACTCGGTACTCTAGCTTCCCGAATGCTGCCGCTGCCTTCGACACGCGGATACGAAGCTCACTGTGTAGCTGCTGATCAGTCGACATCACACTCCCAAGGTAGCAGAAGCGGGAGGTGGTTTCCAATACTTCAGCACCAATGCTGATTTGCGGCAATATTGAAGATTGCACCTCCGGTGAAGGCTGAAAGAGACAGACAGTTTTGCTTGTGTTGATGGTGAGCCCGAATTTAGCCGCTGTCGAAACCGGTGCACTAGTCATATGCTGCAACTCATCCGCGCTGTGTGGAAACAACGCACAGTCGTCAGCAAACAGCAACATAAGGATAGTTTTTTCACAGACTAGAATTCTCGCACCGAAACGACGGATGTTCAGCAACCCACCATCAATACGGTGCTCCACACAAACACCGTAAGCACAAGCCGCATCAAAAGCACAAGACAACATTGCATGAAGATATATATTAAACAGGGCAGGAGCTAACACACAGCCTTGCTTCACACCAGAGATGACTGCAAAGTCATCCGAGGTCTCTCCACTCAGCTGCACCCTCGCTCGCATACCACTGTGCAGACATTCAATTAAACTTATAAACTTACGCGGGCAACCAAACTTACCCAACACCAGCCACAATGCCTCGCGGTTCACCGTATCAAATGCCTTGGTGAAATCAACAAAAAGCGAGTACAATGGTTGGTGTCGTTCTCTGCACTTCTCTTGCAACTGACGAGCCGCAAACACCATATATATAGTGCTGCGACCCGAACGGAATCCACTTTGCTCTTCCGCCACGTTCGGTTCCACAACCTGACTGACAAGGGGGTTGAGCCGGATTCGGGCAATCACCTTGCCCACACAACTCAGCAAGTTGAGGCCACGATAATTCGTGCAACATTGCTTGCTCCCTTTGCCCTTGTACAGTGGTAGCACAAGGGCATCCTTCAGCTCAGAAGGCACTTCCTCCTCAATCCATACACGTTGCACCAAGTGGTGTAGCGCACTCAACAACGTGGGTCCGCCGTGTTTCAATACTCCAGGCCGGATCCTGTCGACCCCAGAACAGTTGCCGTTTCGCAGCTGAGCAAGTGCTCTCTGCGTCACATCCAGTGTCGGCGTGTCCGCTAGACTCGCCTTCACATCGTGCTGCTTGAAGCCGTTCAAACTATGCCTGTCGATCTCTGAACGGTTGTTCAAGAGATAGTCGAAGTGTTTTCGCCAGATCTGCATTATGCCTGCAGTCTGTGTGTAGGTAGCGCCTGAACTACCATCGATCAGCGTCCTCAGCGGCTCTAATCTCGGCCCATACACCACCTTCAAGGAGTCAAAGAACTCCTTGTGTTGGCGGCGTTCGGCGTAGCATTCCATCTGCTTCGCCTTCTTCGTACACCATGCATTTTTTATGCGACGGAGCTCACGGGTCAGTCGCCGTCGAAGTTTGTGAAACTGACTACTCTTCCCCAAGTCACTGGGGTCTGCCACATGTGCAGCAAATGCTGCATTCTTCTCCGACACCAGTGCGCCAATCGTCGCATTGTTCTCATCAAACCAATCAGGCCGCTTACAGTTTGCGCGCCCGATGGTCTCCTCGGCAGCAGCTGTCATCTGGTCGCGAATGCGGTGCCACAGGTCGCCCACTGTGGTTATGCACTCCACATCACACAGGCGTGCAGCCATCGCCTTCTCCAGCTCAGTACGTTTCGCCACAGTACCGAGGGAGAGAATGTTAAATTTACGGTAAGTTCCGGTAAGTTCCCTTTCTCTTTCTTTCTTCATTCAGTATACCTCTATGATTGTGTGGCAGCGAAGCATCCGTTCAAATGGCAGATGTACTGCTGTTGATGATGAGTCCATTAAGGATCATTTCGACTGTACTATGGATGCGAATTGCTAGAAGTTGTGGTTGACATGACGAAGAGCCAGCTCCAATGGCGTTTGTGTTGTGATTTTGTTTGTTTCTCTCTTTCCCCCAACAACGCTTTCACACGTGATGCTTAACATGACACTAAGCATCATATTACATTTATTGTTTTATATTGTATTCAGTAACGTTTGGTATCCCGCTTTTTGCGGCACATTAGCCAAATTATGTTTATTACTTTCGGCTAAAGTGTATTGATGATGATAATGGTGGTAGGAGTAGCCTCTATGGCTCCAAAGAATACCAATTAGTGGATTCCAATGAGATGGGGAGTTTCGCCATGTCAAGCTCCAATCTCAGTTTCAGATATTGTGATAGGAACGCTTCGCAGTGGTGTAAGACATTAGGGGCACATTTTGGATTTGCTTTCAGGTGTTTCTGTATTTCAAGGTAGCGGAAATATACGACAAAAATAGTGTTAACTTAAACCGCGCTAGATTGAAGCCTGTGACTCACCACGGCAAAGTAATTGAAAAAAGAAAAGGTTTCAAAATGCAGCTGATATTTGTACAAAGGTGCTTTTAACCTGGAGAACGCAGTCATCAAGTTCACGTGATAAGAGTGTTCTCATCAACCTTCCCTTTTGCCCCTCTTGCGAACTGAACCACCATTGGGCGATCATGCAACAAGAGTCCATTGGTCGCCTCTAACGCTTGTATTGCAGTTTGCTCGGAGTTCAAGCTGACGAATGCTTGACCTGCAAGGAAAGGACGGAGGAGTCATCTGATCAAAAGGGAAATCTGTGATTTGTTATCGACTAAAGAAATGATGTTCAAGCACCTGTAAGATGCCCAGATAACCGATGAAACTTAATCAAAAACGCTTAACGTGAAATTCATCCGGTAGGTCTGATGTTTTGAGATTCAGTTGAACGACCACCGCAGTCAGGGAAAAGAACTGGACAATCATTACATGCTTTCGGTAATTGTCAGCAGTGTGCAGTCTACCTGGCCCCCGTGAGACTAGAGTCCGCGACCTCACTCAGGAATCACTGGTTAATATCACCGGAATTGGGGACAGACAGGATGTGCACTGGAAGGTTAAGACGGCTATTTAGGACATGTACTGACCTCCTAACTGTCTAGTTGTGATTAATTCAAAATACATAACCTGAATCTCCAATACTACTACCTCGTGACCGTACAATGTGATAAAAGTGAAAGGCGATACTTGCTTGGGTATCACAGTGAAAAGCGAGTTTCACGTTATGGATGACAGAACGGAGAGCTAGGTGTGGTGATTTGGTGAACCAAGATGCGAATGGATACAAGGACAAATACACAAAGAATGGAGATAGGGAGTACTTAAGTGATGGTTGCCGTGGATAATAAAAATTATCCAATGATGCACGGGAAGCCAGTGAATCTGACAGAAAACATAAATACCTTTCATTCGGCCCCCAGTCAGCAGGCGGATGGCGAGGCGATCTGTGGAGGTTGTCGGAACGGGCGGTCGAAAGTGCACGTTCTCTACCAGCCCAGATTGGAAAGCGCCGTATACCCGATATAAATCTTCCTCGGTAACCAGTGGCGACAGATTTTTGATGTACAGTCGTGAAGTAGGATCACCTGGCGCATAATTTTTGGCAAAAACAGCGTAGTTTTGTCGCTCTTCTTGTGTGAGCCGGCGCAATCGTAGATCGTTAAGCGAAAGTGAAAGTTGGGAGTGCTCAGAAGCATTCTCTTCGGCCACGGGACATGAAGGCGTCAGGGCATCATCGCTGTCGTCTGGGTTGGGACCTAGTTGTTGATATGAACAGGGAAAGTGTTTTACGATCAAGGGAATAAAATGCCGAGACTAGGAGAGGCTCAGGAAAGATAAAAGTAAATGCCGCATCATGAAATACGCCAAAAACCGATCGAGAACTCACGATTTCAGAAGGAGTTTAGGACAAAAGATGTCAAATGAACCAATATATTTCCAGGAAACTGGAATAATAAAAAGATGATCGACGGATGTATTAAAGAGTAATCATCGGTAGTGGTCATCTCAACTCAAAAAGATAGGCAGCAGAAGGCCAGTGCGCCGCAATGACACTTTGCTGCCACGCGACTACAGGCAATCGGTTACGGGCTTCGAGGTTACTTGGACCTACGCCCAAGGACCGATGACCTTTGGGTTACTAGGCCTCATTCGTTCCGTCCCAAGTTGTTCACTTTACTGGGTCATCGCAGAGGTGAACTGTATGCCACAAGGCTCCTCCGACCAATGCAACTAAAACTGACTACTATGCAAGCTACACAGAGCAACAAAGAGACGGAAACTGGGAAGTCAGCACATCGTACAGGCGCTTCAATGTCACGCGATCACCACCGGCCATGTGTGGGCTGGGTACACGGCGAGGTCGCCCGCGCCTATGCGGATTCGAACCGTTGACCGCCGGAGTACAAGGCAAGCGTGCAATCTTTTCCGCCACCGTTCGACAAGACAGAACTGACGCAAGGAAGGTTGCTACGAAGACACTGTGGTAATCTGTTCGATGCACAGATTGCTCTCATAAACGACTCCGTAAAGTACACATGGGAAATAACATTTCGTATAAGAATAACCAGGTAGATTGTTGCTTGAGCTACCATCCGGTGGGCGGTCTGTAAGCAGAAGCTGAAGTTAAGGCCACTTTTATTGTTAATTTCCATGTTCCCACCAACATTAGCCTTGAGGTTGCCAAAGATCAATTCCATCAGCAGCTCTCTTCACTTGTTATAACGAACAAAACAACGAAGATAGACTAGTTCGGGTGAGTGTATTGGTATAACCGGTTGCTCTTCGGAAAGAAGATGGCATTACAGAGGTCCGTTCAGTTAATGTTGGTAAACAACAAGGACCAATTTAAACCGATGCATCGCCGCCGTAAAATCACAAGGACCCAATTAGTGTAAGAATAATCGCTCGGAGAGAAAGGAGACGCGGCGTCAAACTTAATAACCTAAAGAAACATTTAAGACCAAAGTGCATACACCGTCACAAATGGCTGCCTAGCGTGCAAAGAAGTCGGTATCGGAAAGACAGCTTCTTTGCGGATTTCAATGCGCCGCGTCATAATCACTCATTACCCCGCAGCTAACACAGTAACAGGAACAATTCAGCTAGACAATAAGACCAGGAGACGAAAGCAAACGCATTAATGGTGCCGACAATGTGCCACGTCTTGTAAAGTAGAGGGCGAAGCACGGGGTTTATCCCCGGAGCGGCAGTAACTTCATTTGCCGCTAAAAATGCGCAAAGCGCATGGCACTTCAACATCCTTAAACAGCAAGGCAATATCGTCGGTATAATCAAGATCAAGTAGCCTTTCACCAGGCAGCACCTCAAAGACTGCATCGTGAGGCTCTGCGAGGGAACACTACAAAATGGAGTCCACAACGAAATTGTACAAAAATGTGGAAACTGGACAACCCTGATGAACTCCACTTGTTGTCGGAAAGATATCCTATAATTCACCGTAGATCCTGACGCGGCATGTCGTGTTCGAGTACAACGCACGTAAAATGTTATTTTATGGGAACACCTTTTCCCATAAGTATCTAGAACAGAATGCATCGATCAGCTGAGTCGAAGGCACTGTTGAAGTCGAGGAACACAGCTACTGTCGGCCTGCGGTACGTGTAGCGCTGCTTTAGCACCTGCCGCAAAGTGAATCTGTGGTCTATACAGCTCCGTCCTGGACGGAAGCGTGCTTGCTCTTCCCTAATCCAGGATTCACGTTTCGCATTGAGGCGACGAACGAGGATTGAGGCCAGTAAGTCTGTCAACACTAGCGTTAGCCTAATATCCCTGTGATTAGCACTCTCGGTGCATCTGCCCTTCTTGCATATTGCCACTCCAGTTAGCTGGGATAGTTTCTTTCTTCTATAACTGTTGGAGGAGGTGGGTCAGCGTTTCGCAGAGGACCTCAATACCATTGTTAAATAGTGCGGGAGCCAGGTGGTCCGGACTGGCAGCACAAAAACGACTAACCTCTTTGATCATGTTCTAAACCTTAGCCTCGGTTGCAGCCTGTAACAAGCCTCAGGTCGGCCTGCAAGACCTGATCAAAAAGTGGTCCAAGAGCAGCAGGAGAAGCAAACTGATCGCAAAATGCTCTGGTATACGAAGAAGATGATGTTCTTTGCTGTGAATTAGGTAGCCCGGGCTGTCGTTGAATGTTTCGCTGATGCATGGGTTCATGGTGCGGATCAGTTAGAAGACCCATTGCTCCTGCTTGTTCCATTTCTCGAGCCGTACTAGTCCACCAGACATCCTTGCGAGCACACGTGCTTTGCTTTTGTTCGTGTCTAACACGGTGTTCAGAGCCAGAAAGGAGATTTCTGAATCCCAACAGGTTCATCGATCTCTCGGATATCTGTGAATGGTGCGGTTAACACTGATACAGCCGCAAGCGGAGGCTCCAGCATCGTGCATAGAGTCCGATATTCCATTCCACTGAAGCTCGTGAAATTTCGGTACGAATGGCACGCTGGTAGGCTTGTCTGATGAATGGGAAGACATTTCAGTTGCCGATCGCGGTAGCCGCTTGGTACACCTCTCGGTAAAGTTCATGGAAAATGAACAGCGTACCAAAGCATGACCAGAGTAGATGCAGCTGTTCCAGAACGATCGACAATGCATGATGGAACCAGGCCACTTGTAACTTATAGCAATGTGATCAATTTGGGTTCATCACTGGCCACCTATCGTGGGCACCAAGTGGCAGATGGGTGCCTATTGTCTCTAAAAGCTGTGCTACTAAAAATCAGCTGGTGCTTAGCGTAGTGGCAACTGACGCTCGCTGTTGTCCGTCCGTTGGAAGTTAAGCCCATGCATACCAGGTTTGTGAGGTTCCGAAGAGCTCTGACGACCTATCTACGCAATCACATTCCTGCAACAACAACCATGACTGAACTGGTAACACAGTGAAACAGCCTGTTCGGTTCATGACAGTAGTTGACCTTGGCAATATCCGAGCCGCAGTCAGTGGGAGTATAAGCATCAACTACAACCCACCAGTGTATATCGTACTTCGTGAATTAGGATTAGCTGGTGTCTTCAAACGGCTGCTCACCGAAATCCATTCAACCAACGACGACAGCCTTAGAGCTGAGAGTGACGCTAACCTCAGCTTGACCACCAGTCACAACATTAGTGTCTCTAGATGCGCTTAACTAGCTGAGAAAGGACAACCTGGGTGAAGTTAGTTCAAGAATCTGCATGACCTGGAGATTGAGTTCCTATGACCAAACTGGTAGCATTAGCTCGGAAGGATATTGTTCAATTGGTCAAACAGTTACGCAAACAGTCGCACCACGTTCAGATCCTGTGTCGTTGCGACGGGTCGATCTTGGTTGGGATGACAATTAGGATAGCCTTTTAGAACATTGTGCTAACTGCAATCTCCGAATAAATATCAAAGCCTTCCACCACAAGCGTTCGAACAGAGTAACAATGTCCGCTGGAAGGTAGCCTTCGACTCAAACAGACCACACTGCAATCAGCTATAAATGACGCACGGGAGTGCAAAAATGTCAGCCGATCTGAACCACTTGCTTCGACCCTCATCATGCCCTTGTAAGCGACTCTCATCTGATACGGGACGCATTTTAGTCCCGAATATCAAGCTTCCGCCGTCCGGGTAGGGCTGATGGAATCTGTAAAACGATGATAAAGATGCTTAACGCTTGGATTCACGCGTGCCTGGAGAATCTGCACATGTGATTCGTTAGTGCTTTAGTCCCACATCCATGCAATCGGTTCCGGTGGGAAAATCAACTGAAACCCATTGGGAGACCTAGAAATGAACCTGGATAAGATCACACGTGCAAGGAACTGCCTGGAGCCAAATATAGCTAATGGATGGCGTGGAATACAATAAAGCTAAACGCGTCGAAAGCAGGTCGGCAAAACTAGATTGGTTGTCCTCCGATCAATGTGGAGAGTTAGTGTAGCCGGATCAACGTGCACTAGTCACACGTGCTCACAGCTGTTGTAACCAGGACGCTTTCAATCAGGTAAGACAGATAAAACCAAGTAAAAGGATGAGCTATTCAGTTACAGGCAAACGGAATACACACAGTGGGGGAAAATCTAGTCGCATATGTCACAGTGCAAAACGGTTACAGGTTACGCAGCCACCTAGTTAGTGATGAAAGCCGATAAGGATCCAAGTAAGTTGGCCAGTGTGCTGCTATCTCTCTGTCCCGAGTTGACTTATGAAGCGAGAAGAAAGACGGCGGTTGAACTGTTCGCTGAGTTTGGCAATTTTGTTGCAAACGTTTCGTCACCAATCGAGGTGAAATCATCAATGCGTAGCATGCAGTAGCGTAGAGAAGCTTCGGAGAGAATGTCACGCAACTACGCACTGATAATGTCACCAAGATTGGTGATGAAACGTTTGCAACAAAATTGCCAAGCTCAGCGAACAGTTTAACCGCCATCTGAAAGGCCTGAGCTACCAGTCTCCAATTCTGTAGGAAAGAAAGACCTTTAACAGTTGGCAAATGAGGTTAGTAACCGTAAATAATGGCAAAAATATACTTCATATGGTGGTAACAAATTTGAATGCTAATGAAACAGAGAGTGTCCGCCTACGCAAATACTGGAACGTATATGACGCCAAAAATAATAATCATGTGTCTCATCACAGGGCTGCAGGGTAGCCAGAGGTGATATGAAGTGCTGGGAAGAGCAAAACCAAATCGTCGCCGCCCGCAACTCCAGTCACACACCATGGTTTAACCTGAGTAAGCACCGCAGCATTTCCGTTCAGGGTCATGAAAATAGGCTATTGTTATACAAGTGGCGTGTAGAGGCTAGTGTTGCCCCCGACATGTCGGACTGATATTCGAATGCGAACGATGCTACCAATTATCTGCGTAAGCCTCTGTGTACAACGTCAAACCATAAAGCCAAATACGTCGTGCCGGAAAACAGTGTTTCTGTGAAAAACTGCTCTATTGTGCAGAGGTAGTAGTACACAATGAAATGGCGCACAAAGTAAACTTACTTTTCCTCAGCTTAAAAGTGCTCCGTAGCTTCCGATCCGTAGGCCCTTTTGGCAATTCGACAAGGGAACGGTTCGAAGGCTTCATGATCCCAAATCCTCCTTCGGAATCACGTGATTGAGCTATCATATGGGGACTGGTTGTGGACGGTAGCTCCGAGGGGACGTGTAACTGCATCTTCGGTTGTACTGCCGGTTCGATTTCGAATAGCTCAGATACACCGGAGTGCTTGCCGGCATCTGCAGACACGGCAACTGGAGCTATCGACAACTTTTGTGTTGAACCCCGTGAATGTCCAAATAGACGCCTTTTTCGGCTTCTGGCCTTGGGGACGAAGTGTTTACTTTCCATGTTTACACACTCATTTTCATCTGGAAACGTCAAGCGTAAATCAGATGTGATAATTGGTGTACATACCAGATTGCAGCTCAGATTCTGCGCTACTGGATAGGTCCATGGCCTCGGTAGTGTTTACCACTGGGCTTACCGGGTTTTGAACTGGCTGAGACTTCAAGGCACTAGGTAACCATGGCTCAGAGATCACAGTCAATGTACCGGGAAACAACTCAGGATCACCAAAAGGAGGCGGCAGATGAAGCCGATTCATTAAGTGTAGTACCTGCGCAGAAGAAATGTTGTTAAATGGATGGTTGTTTACACTATCCACGGTCCTAAAACACAGTTGCAGTCGCAATCATGACAAAACACGTGTTAGGAGCAAAGTTGATAGGTAGGTTTTACTGGCCTACTCGGGCTCTGTCCTATGTTTTTAGTGTTAACTGCATAGAAATCAGGAGTGATGATCCACAAAATCCGAATAAAACATACGAGATACTATCGCGATTGCTCATGTTCAAGCAGCTGGGTATAATACTGAAGCAATCACAACTCGAAGACCAAAAACCCCGATGAAAGAGCTTGCTTTTTACGTATGAGTGCTTAACAGTGTAAAAAAGAGATTTAAGTATATTTTTCACGCAGAGCTGTTCCCTAGAATGGCAGTCGTATTCGGTGGTGTACTAGTGCAAGTAAGGTACCCGTGTTACAGTATAGCCACTTTGTGCTCAAGACCTGCAGAGTGCCATCGCAATATAACTTGCAATCACTGACACCCGGCGCTTTCGCTGTGGTAAAAAGGCAGTAGTCATCTGTCGCGCTAGTAAGTGAAAGACGTAAGATCCATTGTTAGGCTCCGTGCGGAGAGCTGTGCAGCCCTCGAAAACAATGTCCTTTAAATGACTCTTGCTCGCTCCCACCAAATTGTGGCATGAAACAGGTGGCAAAATGAAGGGGAATAGGGGTGAACGAATTCACTCCAAACGCAGTCATCAAGGGACGTCAAATCCCACCAGAGCAGTAGCTCATCTATGTACACTACTAGAAACACTTGGGGATCATTTTCCCTGTCGAAAATGTTTTCTACACTGATTCGCTTTACACAAAACTCTGGGTTTATGGTTCAACCATTTACCCCCACCCCACCCACTCACCAGTATATAAGGCGGTACTCGGGTAGGAAAATAAATAAGGCCGTAAAATGATGCCTCAGTTACCTGGGTGTTGTGGTTTCCGATGAGCACACAGATAACTTGCTGCTACTGCACAATCTGAACAGGCTGACCTCCCAAATCAGAAGACAAAGACCTTTATTGAGCACTCAACAAACACTCTGTATCGCCAAAGATTGGGTCAAATTTATGATTCAGAAGAAAATGACCTAGCTGAAAGTTCCTAGATTCCAGCAACTAGTAGATAGCTAAAAGTGCGTTTGTTGGTCGCCAACAGATTGCGACCACTGGCAAATCTCAGGATGGATCATTCTCATTGGTAGGCAACAAGGTAAATCGCTCTAGTTAGTTGTCCAAATAACTTCAGACTGCGTCGGGATAGCGAAAGGATCGGCTCCGAAGGCTGATATGGGTGGGCTCCCTTAGGACCTCAATCCCGAAATTTGGAATCAAAATTCCGTATTGCATCAAGTTGCATTCTGAGAACGGATCTCCATACTCGGTCAGTCCAGCGTCATGATTGTGTGTTCGGCTCGTTTAGAAACGCTTTGCGAGGTACATCCAAAGTGTCCTGAGTATTCGATAGCATATCGAGACTGTTCAGTAGCAGTAGACTACTTTTGCTTGCCTGGATGCTTGTTGGCCGCAGCTGATTGGCTTGCCTGGTTCGAATCAAAATGCCCGCTTTGACTTTATAGAGTACTTGATCGAGTATCCTCTGGATTGATCCTGTCGCCCACTGTGGTCCCTCCACTCGATAGTCTCCGACCCAGTTGTCCAGTATAACGGAGATTTGTGTCGATGGTTGTAGTACCTTACTGTTTGAGAGTTTCTTTCGTTGTCGGCAAGTACGCCTCGGAAGCAACAAGGAACTCACAGTACGAAGCTTTTTTCCAATTAGTGCTTCGGTTGACAATTACAAACTTGATGTCTAGGAGTTGGAGGGTGAACTGGACAATATCTAGGAAACGTCTGGAATCTTTTATGTGTTTCCTTCCTCTCTCATCTTTAACAGCAATAGCTTAACATATCAACAAAGCGCTCCGCATGTCTATTTAACTAGGGATTAGTTTAAATGCATGATATGATTCTGTACGCCGTAGTCGGCAAATTAGGAAGAGGTAAAAATGGAATCGGTAGTATGTCGGTACGCAGTACCGAGGCTTCGCTGTCGCGCAACCACCACCAATCGTACGTGCGCTAAGGATACTTCGAGGGTCCCCTGGTCTCCACGCAGACTCGAGTCCGCGCCCTCGGATTACAAGGCAGGCTTGTGATCCTAAAGGCTACGCGCCGTTGAAGAGGTGAATTGAGGACCGTTGTAAGTGACTAGGGTATCCGGTAATCCGTGATGGCTGAAGTCTTGTTATAATGTAGACCGTTGCACCAAGACGTATGCTCAATGCACCACGCCTCGGTCCACTAGCTGAAAGAGTCAACAATGATTAGCTATTGATGACCATCTACGAGACCAAAGAAATCAGCGTGTAAAAGTTCCCACGGCTTCGTTGCCAACGACCAGAAAGCTAGTTCGGCCTTACTGATAAGCGCGCATCTCGGACATGAATTTGCCAGTTGCTCGAGTTCGGAATCAATATTGGATAAGTAAACGAAACTTCGCGCAATGCTTATTCTACTGTTAATCCTAGGATGACCTCGATGAATGTAACTGGCATGTTCGCTCCGTGGTAGTGGTTAGTATTTTGAGGAAAGCTGACCAATGTGTTGTAGATGAGACGGAGGCCAATTAGTCGTCGTCAACAGAAACTGACCATGGGTGAAGGAGATAGAAAGAGGAAACAGGGTCGGCCCATCCTAGGAGGAATGAAGTACATGTTTGTCAGGAAAAACGGAACAGCCGCGAGCGGATGCAGCGTATGTGATGGCCAAAAAGAAAGGAGAGCTGACTCATCCAAGTATGACGGGCAGTGCAGACAGAGCGGAAGTCGATAGAAGCGAGGGGGACGTAAGGAGCAATGCACACAAACAGACCGCGAAAGACGCAACAATAGAGTAACTAATGCGAAGATGTCGTGGCAAAATAGCGCTCTTGCATTAATATACTGTATAAACGATGCTTTGGTCTACAGATAACAGATTTTGGTAGTTGCCCAGACTTTGTTTTGACCATGGGGGGCTGCTCGACGGTTTCATTTTGAAGTATCGTATATTAC